AAAAGGGTAATAGATTACTTCTCTGCAGTCAACTTAACCAATCAAGATGATCTTCCCAATGAAAAGTCTAAATGTTTTCAATAACAGAAAGAAATTTGACTCTCTTGGGACAGGACGGCAAGCAGGGGGCTATAAACCTTGACGCTTTATTATCAGGGACACACGACCAGAGGTTAGACTTGTGTGCACTGCACATTCCATGAGCAACTACATTAACAATAAGACTGGAGTAGCACCCAAGCAAGCTAGATGGGAAAATACATAAAGAATAACCATACTTTAGAGTTTCAATTTCCTCCTTTATTAAACCTTTGCTAAGAATTTTAAAGAGGAGCGACGTGAATGAGGGTCATTCACATCAGGCCTTCAAGTCTGGTTCTTTCTCCATGTGGAGCTGAGCAATCAGAAGACCAGGGTCTTAGCCGCTCCGGCTCTTCCACTGCTCTTAAATATAGAGCAATCATTTATTGACTAGCTTTGACTACACCCAGAACACTAATGAAAATGGATGAGTCCCCAGCAGATGATGACCACTTCTTAAGTTCAGGGGCTTCCCCAGTGGTTCAGCGGTAAAGAATCCACCTGCAATGCACGAGACGCAGGTTTGATCCCTGGGTCAGAAAGATCCCCTGGAGAAGAGGATGACAACCCTCTCCAGTATTCTTGTCTGGGAAATCCCATGGACAGAGGAGCTGGCGGGCTACTGTCCACAGGGTTGCAAACAGGCAGACATGACTGAAGTGACTGAGCACACATTTAAAGTTCAAAAGGAGAAAGGATGCTTGGGTCAGAAACTAATAGCTATAGTCTGATGCTACAAAGCTTGCCCCCCTGCCCTGGGCCACTCCCAGCTGAGGACGTCTAGGAATCATCCTGGCATTCAAGACAAAGTCCAGCCTCCTCCTACCACTAACTTTTCCAAATCTCTAGACAGACTAGTTACCCGTTAACCCCCAGTCACATCTGTATTTCCCAACTCTTTCTCCTCCTCCTCTTTGCCCAACCAAGATGAAATCTCATTTTCTAGAACATTCCCAGAATACCCTGGGTGTAAAAATATATCTTATATTAAAATTATAGCCACAATCTATACAATTAATGACAAGCATATAATGCTTTGTGACACCTCTAGAACAATTTTCACCTATTACCTACAATTCTATTATTTAACTTTCACACTTTTATGCTTGTCCTCTAACTAAACTGAAAACTCCTTGTCTTTCTCTTATTTTTTCACCCAAGTACATTGTAGACAGAAAGATTTTAATTACTGTTAATATTTAAAACAGAATAGAGACTGGGCAAACATTCTAAACCATCTATTGAAACCTAAGAAAACATGTTAGCATAGTATAAAACAATGATGATTAAAAGTTGACCTGGCATGAATACTGTAACCCTTTACATTATTTACAGTATTCAGAGCAGTTTAGTGACTAGCCATGGTGGTTTCTATCAATTCTGTCCACTTGAAAAACTATGGAAGAACTTATAAGCAAAAGAAACATTCTACAGAGAACTCCTTCCATCCAAAGGTGGAATAAAAGGTGAAAGTATTATAAGCTCTTATTATACAAAGAAAGTGATGTCCCAATTATAGATGCAATATTCACTATATGTCATTTAGTTCAAATTCTCAGCAATATGGAATTACAATATTTATCTGTTTAGTTCTTATAAAAATAGGGAATTCTCATCTATGCATTTTTAATGTATACAAGGAAAAGAGCAAACAACACAGGGAATTCTCTGGCAGTCCAGTGGTTACGAGTGTGCACTTACACTGCTGTGACTCGGGTTTAACCCCTGGTCAGGGAACTAAGATCTCACAAGTCACAAGGCTTGGCCAAGAACAAACAAAAAACCCCCCAGAAAACCAGAAAGGAAAAACAAAACACAAAGAAATAAGTAGACAGCAGTGCCAGAGAACTTAAGTTAGATCTCTTATTCTCAAACACTTGGAGCTTCAGTAACTACTCACCGTGGAACGGCATCTACAGAGGATGACGCCGGGACCTTGGAAACTTGACAGTTTGCTGCAGCAGCCAGCTTTAAGGCAGACGATGGGACAGCACTTAAAGTCCTAGGTATGTGTCGTGCATTTATGGGGGTGATAGAGTTTACAGTGGCAACTGATGAAGGTACAGTCAATCGAATGTTGTTCCCAATCAGAACCTGAGTTGTGGCGGAGTTGGCAGCGGTCGCCGGGTGACCCGGCGCACTGTGGGAACCCGCAGTCTGGGTCACGCTTGCAGGCTGCAGCAAAGCCGGCCCTGCCGTTGACGGACTTGTGTGGACAAGTGCTGTGGGTGTAGTGCTACTGAGGTGTAAGCCCTTGTATACTCCTAGGGAAAAGGAAAGACACAGCTCAACAACCGCAACTTTGCTTTGTTTATCACTGACGCACGTCACAAAAGCAATCACAACTGCTGACACGTCTCTCTCCCTACCTGAGGCTGGAAGGACGCCATTCACCCCAATTCCAAGCACCACATCCTCCTTCATCTTGAATCCCATCAGTTGTTCCGATGTCACCAAAGCAGAAGCAGCAAATTGAGCACTAGCAGAATCCAAAGTCTTGGAAACAAAACCCTACAAAGGCAAACACAGAGCAGAGCTAATCAGCATCACTTAGTTTCAAATAATTATTAAAGCTACACAGCTATACGCCCAAATCAGTCTGCATACAAATCAAAGTGGCAGACCACTGAAATATCTTAATTTCTTCTTGACAGTCATAAATTTGATTAATGTTCAAGTCATCTTGTAACCCAAGGATTATAAATTAAAAAATAAATTCTCTTTTGCTGTACATGGCATTTTAGACCTTAGTTCCCTGGGGATTGAACCAACACTCCCTGCACTGGAAGGTGGAGTCTTAACCACTGGACTCTCAGGGAAGTCCCAAGGATTATGGATTTTGATCTTCTTATGTGAAAACATATAATATGAAATTACCAAAATAAACCTTTAAAATGTGGAAATGGTAAACCTCCAACATGAAGTGTTGGACAAGAAACATGCTAGTAAAACATTTCAGTGATTTGCAATGAATCAATGCATGAATAAATTCATATAATGAATAAGTGAGTAGGCAAAATATCCTTCACCTAACTTAGACACATACATATTCAACCAAAGGCAGCCAGGGGACAATAAGGTAACTACCCCTTTAGAACAGAAGGAATAAAACATCAATCACATCCTAACTCAGCCTAGAAATTAAGAAGCCCCTTGAATTTTTTAAATGGTATTTTCTTCTCAGATGTCTAGAGACACAAATCTCAGCCTTCCGTTAAGTTTTATAAATGTGTTTAAATGGCCAATATTTATCATGCTTTACGTTCAAAAGTGATTTAATAATAAAAGAAGTTATTTTAGCGTAATTTTTAATACATTTTAAGAAGAATTAAAAGTTCTCCAGATAATGAGCTGGGTGGGGCTGTAAATTAAAGAGGTACATTTACAGACTGCAAGATCAGGCTTGAAGACAGGGTCTCCATCTCATTTGACTTTTAGGTTTTACTTTTTTACAATAGGAAGCAGAGGGCGACAGCTTCTATACTCACCTGTAACGTTCTTTCTAAACCCTGTATAGAGTGGCTATGATGTAGATTCAGGCGAAAGCCACTTTTCTGCTGGTTAGATGCAAGGTTCTATGACAACAGTTGGTAATTAGAGATGAACTCTGGTGGGAAACAATGAGGGATAATCATAAGACAGACAAATCCCTCACCTGTGGCGTGGTGGTGGAGGAATTATTACTTGCTTGCTGTTGCTGAATTTGTGCAAGCTGCTGTTTCTGCATGAGTGCCAGCTGCTGTTGATGTTGCTGGTATTGTTCGGCTGTAAATGCTGAACGTAAAACGAGAGAACACTTTATAGAAATGCACAGCTATCACACGCAACTTACAATACATGAAAACAAATTCAAGCATTTAAAAAAATTTGCGCAAAATGAAAGCACTTGAGCATCCTGTTAAAGATCACTTCTGAATGAGAATTTCAGCATTTTTATAACCACGCTTGACAAGAGTGGCTTGAGTTTAAAGAAAAATAAAGTGAAACTTTGAGTTGCACATGGCAAAGAGAAGTGCTCACTTCCCAAGCTTTGAAACCATTATTTTTTTGGTAAGCTGTGACACTTGTGCTAGACAGTGTAAAAGGTAATACCAGCTTTTTTCAACCGCATGTTGGAAATTCAGCTTTGCACTGAGCTTGAGAAGAGATCCAATAATTACCATCTGGTGTCTTTATTTATTCATACTACTGTCCTAATCCATTCAGATGATCTCCAGCAGTTCTGTACAGAAATACTAGCTGTTCTACATAGTTCTGAATTTTAGTCATTACAATATTTCCTCCATATGAAATATAAGGTTGTTGGTTTATTACCTTTTTTTTTTTTAAAAGAACCCATCCTTTAAGTTTAACAGGAAGAAAAGAGGCTCCAAAGGTTAATTAATTTTCCCCACCCAATTAACCCACCTGGAAAAAATCCAGTCAATAAGAACGGAGTTGTTTATGTTGGCTTACTGTACAGAATGATGTCTGAGGAAAGACACTGTGTTATGCTACTTATGTTTGTCTATGGAGAGCTCAGTTCTAAAAAAAACAAACAAAAAAATGTTCATTTATTAACCCCCCAAAAAGTGTGTGCAGTTTTTAAAAAGGAAAACCTTTTTCTTTTTTTTTTTTTGCCAATTAAAAAAAAAAAAAGAAAAAACGTACATACAATCACAACATCTGACTTTTAAGGCTTCTTTAAGAAGCCTGTGGTGTTTGGGTAAGAATTATTTTAGAACAGAAAAAAAAGGGTTAGCATGCATCCTCAGTCACTAGGGAATCTATAAACCATGCATACCCCTCAATCTAAGGTTTATTGTCTTCAAAATACTGTCAGCTAATTTGTTATCTTTAAAGATGTTTTGATAATTTATTTAGAATATTTCATCATCAAGTTTTGCAATTTTCACTTATAACTCATGAGAATCTTTATCCTCTGGGACAGTTTCTGCCTAGGACAACTGGAAAATACTTAAGCTAGAAGTTAGGTAGAAATTCTACCATATTTTAAACAAATCAGAAAACTGTGACATAATATTTCAGAAAACCTCTGAAGTTACTAGTATTTACATAGACTTTTATACTTGAGCTGAACTAATTTCCTGGGTTACAAAGCCAAAAAATAATTTGTTGGAAAAACTCTACCATTCATTTTCCTATTTTTGGTGTTACAAATCTGTTTAGTTGATATATGTCCTTTGATGAGTTTCTTCTTGTTATTTAGTCAACTCGATTCTTTTGCAACCCCGTGGACTGTGTCCCCAGGCTCCTGTATCCACAGGATTTCCCAGACAAGAATACTGGAGTGGGTTGCCATTTCCTTCTCCAGGGGATCTTCCAGGCCCAGAGACTGAACCCATTATCTCCTGATTGGCAGGTGGATTCTTTACTACTAAGCCACTAGGAAAGCCCTGTTCCTTTTCCTACTATGTTGGTAATCCTCAGATCTGAACTCTGCAGGAAAAATTCTTTTTTATTGATAAAAGGATAATCCATAAATAGTGACATAAAAGCAAGTTTCTGTCAAAATGACCATTTCCATATAACAGAAATAAGTTAAATCAGAACTTAAAAAAATAAGGCTGCCTTGAAACAGCAATTATAATTAACCTAATATTTAACTTTATGCTTAAAAAATTCCATAAAAAGCAACTGCTTAAAGCCAAAAAGACAATTTAAGTATTGCTAATATGTTTTTGCAACTTCTACTTTAATTTCCTAAGCTTGAGTGAGTTGCCTAAATCTTGAATTTCCTGGTAGGAGATGCTTAATAAACTTGAAAAAAAAAAAAAGACGACTATTACTGGAAGGTCACACACACTTAAAAAAGAATAATTTAGCATTCACTGTAGAATAGATCTGTGTTCAGAACTCCATTTATATGAACGAAAATATTATTTTGCAGAACTTTGCTGGTGTTTGTGACTTAAAATTAGCAACATTAAGTTAGAAACAGATTTCAATAAAGGTTCCAAATATTTTACCCTATTTAAATCAACGTTTCAGTCCTCAGTCTCTGAGGGTTTTGTGAATTTCATTTTTTAAACAACTGTTAACTTCCTATACAGATCTAGAAATTTTTAAAAATGCAACCAACACTTTAGATCACTAACACTCACTGTGATTTTAGATCCCCATGTTAGCCTATTTCTTACATATCTCTATACTCCAAAGTCTAGTTATAAAAACTTCCCTGGACATTTCTGATAAATGTTCTAGAAGAAACGCAGAGTAACATATACGCCAGAAGTGATGGTAATAAAAAACATGGGTCTAGGGGCCAAGAGATCCTGATTTTTCTTTCATTCTCAGCTCTATCATAATTAGCTGAGTATACCTAAGGAAATTACTTAATCTTCTGGAGCTCAGTATGTTTACCTAAAATACACAAGTATTAAATTAGGTGATCATTAACGTCCTTTTCAAGATATAACACGCTAAAGGGTTTTAGATTTCTTCTGAAAAATAACAATTCCAATCCAAAAGGCTGTATGAATGAGTAGGAAAGCTTGGATAAAGGTCAGGTAATAAATTTGGGCAAATAAAAGCTTAACTGGGTTTCACATTGTTCCTTACACAGGAAACTAGGACGACCTTGGATGCCATTATAATTCAAAGCCTAACCAAATTCTAAGTGAAAATAAACCAAAATGACCATATTTCCCTAAATCTCTATCAAAAGGTTTTAGGTTATATGTCTACCTCTAGATATGGTGTGGTAGTCAAGTTTACAATTCACATGAAGGGGGACACGCTGGTCTGGTGAACAGATCACCAAACCTAGAATCAGAATCATTTCACAGAACCAAAAAATGTTAGATCAGGAGGGATTCCTGGTGATTCCCTCTATAACCTCATAATAAAGATGAAGAAACTTTCATCTGAGATCACAAGGATTTTAGTAGTGGAAACTACTAAACTACCCTGAAACCAATGAGATTTTAAATATAGAAAGAGACAAAGTTTGTTTTAGATTTAATATCATTTACAAAAAATAATCAGATGTTTTATGTAGCAACAGTGTGCATCATGCTTGTAGAGCCCAGAAACCACTGCTGTTCGGGTAGCTTCTAACAATTCTCTCAGGGTAGGAATTTAGATGGAATAATCTAAGACTTCATGAATCCACTTCTTATGCAAGGAACTATCATGTGCCAGGTATACCAGCCCTGGAACAACCTGGTGTTCAGGCTGCTGGCCTTTAAGTCACATTCCTATAGCTGGAGCAGATCAATGGAATAATTTTGGGGTGGTGTGGGGAGGGTGACAGATAATTTCAAAAAGGAAACAATTTCAAAATTTGAAAATTCAGTCTGAGGTGATGGATTCTAGGTTACCAGAATATACACTGTGTTTTAAAAACAAACCCAAACATCTATTTTAAAAGATACTCATCAATTAGAAATTTCTTTGAGCAATACAAGGCAGAAAATTATTTTAGTGCAGGAGAGAGGTCACTTTAAAGAAATAAACATATCTGAAATGACTCCACACAGTATTACAGTATGACCCCTTAATCAGTAAGCTTGAATTGATAGTATGGAGGTCACAAGTACTTATCAGTTATCTAAAATACCCAATCTGAAAACAAAAATTTGTTGTAATTCATTTGATAACAAACTACAACCAAACCTGAATTCATCTGGCTGCAAACGTCTTGAATATGAGATTCTTTGTGGTCAAACTTAACCACTGAGTGTGACTATTCTCGTACTTCACTACACAACTGTAGGACTATTAATGTGTTTTACTATGGGCACCACCCCGGACTCTGCTGAGCAAGTAATTCTGAGTTTTGAAACATATTTGGATAAGGATATGGTCCTATATCCTTATGATGGTCCTATGTCCTATGTCCCTCACCGACTCAATGGACATGGGTTTGGGTAGACTCTGGGAGTTGGTAAAAGACAGGGAGGCCTGGCGTGCTGTGATTCATGGGGTCACAAAGAGCTGGACACGACTGAGGGACTGAACTGAAGATCCTATAAATTAAAAAAATCTAGCAATGAAAACATTCAGTGTTCAATTCTAGTAACTGTCCTACAGTAAGATTAAAATTTTATGCTAACTAATAAAGGCCTACTCCTGTAGAGCACAGAAAACTCTACTCAATACTCTATAATGACCTATATGTGAAAAGAATCTAAAAAAGAGTGGATAAATGTATTAACACATGTAAAACCTTCAGTCTGCTGCACAGCAGAAACTAACACAACACTGTAAATCAACTATACTCTAATAGAAATCGAAAAAAAGATTTTTAATGCTACAAATAGAAGTCAACTGTGCCTCTGAGTAAGTTACAGGTTTGGAGGCTTAGAACCTACCCATCTAGCTACACATTCCCCACTGACTTACAGAATAAATCTATCCTGCAGATATGGGAGTTCAGAAAAATGACTTAAAATGCTGATAAAATTTCACTGAGAAACAGGAATTAAAATCCTGAATATATAATGGTGGTTTAAAAATCACTTTTCTATTTTCAGTCTTTCTGAATTAGAGTCCTTCCTAATTATGAAAAAAAGGTATTAATTCTGAATCTGTTATCCCTTCAAACACATGCAGATGAATAGTCATGCAACCAACACTAAGTTTTCAAAGATTGTTTTTTTTCTTCCTTTTGTCTGCACCTCATGGCTTGTGGGATCTTAGTGCTCTGGCCAGGGACTGAACCTCAGCAGTGAGAAAGTGTGAAGTCCTAATCACTGGACTGCCAGCAAATTCCTCAAGGACATTTTTGTAGATAAAAATATTAGAAAAATATACTTGAAAATTGTCCAAACCACATTTTAACTAAAGACTACTTAAAATACACGATTTATCCTTAAGTACCAAAATCTAGTCTGAGAAGTTCTAACACGGTGTCACCCTGCTGTACTGTATTCAGGAGACCAAGCACTCGAGCACCTGACTACCCATCTGGCTGCACAGCTATGCAAAGTGGTGAAGCCTAGGAAGCAAGCAAAAGACTCTGATCGCTTGCCACCAGAAGCTGTGTGCTAGAGCTCATGCCCTGTGCTGAAAACGATGGGCTTCAGATGCCCTCATGTAGATTTCTATTTGGAAGTGAGAAGAGGTCCTTCTAGAGGATTATTTAGAAAAGGGATAATCAGTCCAGAGGGCATTACTCTGTCACAGCACACATATAAACATTAATATTTAAAACAATGACAGAATGATAAAAAATGGCTAAACTGAAACCCACATATTTGGCTTAAAATAGCAGGCAAGCATATCAGCCGATTCGTATTTCACATAATGACTGGTTAAGGTCTAAAGTCAGTGTGGTAAAAATTAAGCCTAAAAAATTCCTTTAGCGAGTACCATGATGAGTCCATCTCCTTTCAATAAGTCCAACACAGCCAGTTTTTCCTCTGGCATCAGACTAGATCAGAGTTTCTGTGGCTGAATTCCAGACAAGAGTAGTTTCATTTGTGTTTAGGGGCTATGACAAATGAAAAACAAACTTTAAAACTACATCAAACGAGATGAGATGCTTAACAGAGGGTGAGGTAGCAATGCAGGCACTGATGCTGCAGAAGGAACAGACTCACTTCTCTCATTTCCAGAGGGCCTCACTCTTAGTTCAACTGTACTTAGAACCCTGTGTAACGTCTTAACTGCTGAAGTTTTTTTTTCTCCAGGGGAATTCAATGAAGTTAAAGGTACACATGACATGAGTTCACTGTCATATACTTTACAGCGAAAAGCTTTAGGTTTCTGGAATATTCACAAACATGAAAGAATAAAGTGTTACCCTAAAGCAATTCTGTAAGTATACAGAAAGATCTAAGAAATTTATGGGAAAATTGAGAACAATTAAGTGCAAGAGAAAACAAATGATAAACCTACCATTTAATCTGATCACATATATGGGGGAAGAAAATAATGGAAAGGAAAATTACACAGTTATTAAAGATTTTTTCAGCTAAATTTTCAGTAATACTACTGCTCCATATTCATCTTTTAACATTCATTGGCAAACATAAATCAAGTAAGTGTTATACTAGCAATGCTCAGTTAAGTAGTATAGCAAAACAATTTATGTGAAAAAGATCATATAAGTAGCTATACAACTTTAAGAAGTGGAGAAGATCAGAAATTGATCGAACAAGCCAGTTTTCTACATCTAGTCTCAAAGAATTTTAAACAACTTAACCTTTATCAGGGAAACATATTATAAATTTATACTATTAAAATCTCTACATTCACACCATATAAGACTTTCATGCTGAAAAATCCTTTTGATTTTTAAGACTATAAAAGCAGAGAGAAACTGAATCTTCATGATATAGACTCCAAGATTAATGTGATTATAAGTAATCTATTAGGTAGGCCTCAGAATAATTTAGATTATCTTCTACTTGATTTCTGAAATGAGTTTATATTTCTTATGAGTTGAAAGACTTCCCTTTCATAGAAGTACTTTATTTCTAATCACAAAGAATATTAATTTATGGAAACTTTTCTGAATGTCTTTAAGGATATGAGGCACATTTTCATATTTATTAGGTTTAACTGTAGCCTTACCAGATAATTAGGGGGACAGATTAAATTATCTTTATATATTTAAATTATCTTTGTAAATATCTGTAGCAACAACTTTAACAGTGAATTTCTATAATCTTCATGCCTCAAACAACTGGCATTTGCTTTAAAATAGAAAACTAAAATCTGGGGAATATTTTAAGTAGGTGGCATTTATACTAGACCCATTTCACAGTGTAGGCATAATGCTAAAGTACATATTACCTGAAATGTTTCCAGATTATTAGAATAATCCTTAAACTTAGATGTTCTTTGAAAAGTTAGTGTCCCTCTTATAAATCATTCTGAATGACAGTGTCAGCAGAGAAAGCATGCCTGTCTATCAAGTTGCTGGCTTACTTTAAAGCAGTCTAAGTAAAAGCCCAGAAAAGTGTCCACTATCAATTTACGGTCCATTTTCTTTCCATATTATTTGAAAACATAACAGCTGAATCTTGGTGGTTCATGAAGTGCAACAGGAAACAAATGCCATACATTATAAACAGCACTAAAATTCTTGGGTGTGCAGATATGTTTAAATGAAGACACATGCACAATCGGGATTCAAATAAATACTTAAACCTAGATTTTTAAAAAATACTATTTTAAGAGAAGAGGACTTTTAGCTGTAAGAATAACAGATCACATAGTCGCAACACTGATGAACCTGAGGCTTCTACAGAAACGCACATCAAAACGAATGAACGTACCAAAGTGTGCTGAACCACTGCTGCTTTTACTTTGCGTAGAGGTACTGCATGTCTGGGTCCCAGGTTGTGCTGTGCCTGTTCGATTTATACTCCTATACAATTTTCGACAGGAGAGTTCATCATTGTCACTGTCATGTAGGGATGGTGTCCGAGGCCTAAAATGCCGCCATCTACATGATTTGATATTGACGAGTATCTGACTGAGGTCTTTAGAGAAAGATTTGTCCGAGGTATTTGTTTCTGAGGTATTGGCAGGCTGATTGACTGGAGAATGTTGTGGTGAGGAAAGCATGTCCAGATCCAGATGGCGAAACACGCCGTCGTAGTCTGAGTGCGCTCTGTCCAGTAAGACCCTGTTAAAAATCAGTCAGAAAATTTATGTAGAACAGCTATTCAGAAATTACACAAGAATTTTTTTCTATCCCCTCCCCAAGTCCCCCAAAGCCATCTCATACTGAATATTTAAAAGCTATAAATTTGATTATTTCCATATTTGGCTCTGAAGGCTAAACTCTCAATTTCTGTTAAGGTTCTTTCACTTTTTAAAGATTCGACTAGAGAAGAAAGTACTCCACCTTGAAGAATAAAGTATACTGTCCACCTTGCAACAGAAAGCCTTCTAACAGTGCGTTACTGTCACCATACAAGAGAATTTGATCTTTCACTTCCATTACAAAGCACCAAAACATTTATGAAGCACTGCTAACGTATCTGTTACTTAAGCAAAAAGGTTTTTTTTTGAGGGAGCAGGAAGGAGAAAAACAATAAAAGTATGTGATCTTTGGATATTTTACACTATTAAAACTTCTTACAGACAAAATATTTGAAGACACCACTCGAGAGGATTTATTTTTACTTTATTTATATAAACTTTATAAATGAATCCATCTTAAAATGCTAACACTAACTAATGCTAGTATAGAATAAAATATAGCCAACATAGAGAACTTTTACTACTAATGACGAGGCTGAAAAAGCACTCAATAAAATGTGTCTTAGTGACTGGATAATTCTAAACTGACATGAAGTGATAACAACTGCAATTAAGATCAAAAATGAAAGAAATGTGTATAAGTCATTAACTTACTATAAATTATACCCTTACGTTTCTTCTTGAAGGCACCTTGATCTGTTATGCCTTTTAATCTTTTTTCACTAATACCATACACGAGTCTTTCTTTTCCTTCGCTTTCATGTGTTTGGCAATCCCTCCCCTCCCCACACAGCTTCTCACCTAAAGACCTCCAGAGCATCAAGGACTCCATCAGGTCTAGACAAAGGCAAGTATCCTGACAAACTGAGGTCAAGATCAGGTCCCGCATGGAGCCGGGAGCCTGTCCTCTGATGAGTTAACTCAGTGTACTAGTTATATGACATTTCTTAGCCTATTTAATCCTTTTTCTCAGTATATCCCAGAACTCCTAAAATAATTTTTGGTAATTTCTTTAATGTCACATGGGCTTCCCTGATGGCTCAGTTGGTAAAGAATCCACCTGCAATGCAGGAGACCCTGGTTCAATTCCTGGGTTTGGAAGATCTACTGGAGAAGGGATAGGCTACCCACTCCACTATTCTTGGGCTTCCCTTGTAGCTCAGCTGATAAAGAATACGCCTGCAATGTGGGAGACCAGGGTTTGATCCCTGGGTTGGGAAGATCCCCCAGAGATGGGAAAGGTTACCCACTCCAGTTATTCAGGCCTGGAGAATTCCATGGACTGAACAGTCCATGGAGTCACAAAGAGTCAGACACGACATTTTTTTAATGTCATACAATTTATGTAATCATGATGTACACTTGCTTTCATCTACCTCTGAGGGCAGATATCTGAGTTTTCAATCTTGAGAAGAAAAGCAGATCCATTAGGGAACCACTAGTTATGCATTAAAAGCTACTGCTGTGTAACAGGTAGAAAGTGGCAAAGTATCTTCGTCCAAAAAAACCCCAAAAAACAGTTAAGAAGAGGAGGCGGGAACAAATGAGCTCTTTGGAAGGATCACCTCATTTTAAACTTTTGCCTGACTCCATCACTCACATCTAAGACATCCCTCTGCTAGAAGCAGAGATGCCTCACCTTCCACCGCGCCCAACCCGTCTTCGTGCAAATCCGATGCACCGCTGGGGCACGGTCAGGGTGGTCAGGCAGTATCGGTATCGTACATCCCCTATTCCTCCGTCGCTAGGACTAGTCCAAGGCCAGTTGCCAGTTTGGTCTAAGTGAGGCTTAAAAAGAAAAATCCGAATTATTATTTATTTTTTGTCAACTAAAGGTAAGCAGTTTGTTATTTACAAAGACAATCTACACTTACAGCGTAGTACTGACAGCCTGCCTTCCTTCGGAAAGCAAAAGGGCCATCGGGATCATTCTCTTCCTCAGCTTCTGAAGAGCCAGACAGAACCTTTAAATAAAAGGAAGTGCGTCAGATCATGTGCCTTCCTATGTTCCTCATCTGCATTCAGAGAAAATCCTTGCACTTACCTGGGAGAGAGGCTCTTCATCTGAGCTGGGGAAGTCATACTGGTTCAGGTCTTTAGCGTTGAAGACCGGCAGCGTGGTGGGGCTGGCCTGTTGAGGAGCAGCAGCAGCAGACGAAGGTAAGACTTTGGGCTTCTTTTCATATTTACGTTTAGGTCGGATAAGATCGGCCTTATCTTGCTGCAATACAGTCATGAATTAAACACCAGAAACCACGGTCAACAAACTCAAAGTCTGGGGGAAGTTTTAAAAATAAGTTTCCTGCTAACATGAACTTACAGGAGGTACAAGACCCTTACATTTTGTCACTTTCTAATGTAAAAGTCTTAGAGGTTGTTCTCTGTGAAAACATGAGTATGTTCCTACAACCTAAACATGATCCTAAAATACTTTGCTTCAATTAAAGTAAAAAGAAGAGAAGTTCTCCTGAAATCCTTAAACTAATTAATATTTACTGTTGGTTCGATATCTTTTTCTTAACTTTCTACAAAAATTCTAGGAGAGAATTTTTTAAAAGGAACTTTTAGTTAGTCTTCATCCTAAAGAATTAACAAATCAACACTGGAAAAGTAATAATGAGAACATATACACAAAGCAAGCTTCAGGTAACTGTTAACATAGTGAAAACAAACCCATAGTACTGAGGTATTAAAAAAATAAAGGGTAGTAAAGACTTGCTAGCTCTACAATGAAAGTAAATGGTGAGCAGTTTTAGAGGTTAAAGATATGAAATCACTAAAGCAGGAAACAACACAGGGATAATATACACAGGCAAGAGTGATGAATACAGTTGCACGTCAGAAATACACATGGCCGGTGAGGGCAGAGGTGAGGAGAGATATGAATCTGAGGAGGAGGCAACAGGCAAGGAAGATCAGAGGCAAAAGTGGTATTTGGTAGGAAGAAACAGATCATGGCGAGTATCATGCTTGTGTAAATATGCTAAGTATTTACATCAAGCTTTATGAAGTTTATGGCATTATGGCTTTTAAAGAAAAGTTAATGAAACTATAAGGTATCTCTCTTTACAATTTCTACTGCTGTATCTATAGACCAGTCTTAAAAACTGGCTTTCATGGTAGGGTTTATAAACAAATTCCTCCTTTTTACTCTGATTCTAATGATTAAAATCACAAACATTTTGATCACCTTATTAACTTTAAATTCCTTCACGTCTATCGGCTCCTGGTGTTTGAACTGACTGCTGTTGGCGATGGGGATGAGGGGGATGGTGTACGTGGGCTTCACTGGCTGCCTCTGAGCCATGACCTCAGACATGATCTCCCCACTGTAGTCACCCAAATTATACCTGAAATGGTAAGAGAAGGTTCAGAGTTAGTTCCTGTAAGTACTTACCGTCATGATGACTAATAACTAACTCAGATATTAACTATAACCCTGATGAAACTTAAGGTAAGATTACAGGTAAACTACCTGATGAATGCTTATTAAAAGTAAAGATTACATAATTCCTATTGCTTCTTTCTTTTACTTTTTGGCTCATGGCTTTATCATGCCACCATTAACAGATAACCATGGCGGGGGAGGGGGGATTTAATTTTAACATAGCAATTCTGGTGACAGATTTGGTGGAGATGTTGAAATTCATGCCTGAAATGGTACAGAGGAACTTTCTGCTAATTTGAGTTTCTGTGCCATAAAACTAATTTTTCTGTAATGAATCATAAGAAATTGAATAGTGATTTCCTTTGGGAACAGGGACCTGGAAACAGGGGAGTGTAGCCTGAAGTTTTCACTGTGCTTCTGCTGAAGGATTGTGTGTGTGTATTTAGTTGCTCAGTCGTGTCCAACTCTTTTGCAACTCCATGAACTGTAGCCTACCAGGCTCCTCTGCCCATGGATTTTTCAGGCAAGAATACTGGAGTAGAATGCCACGCCCTCCTTCAGGTGATCTTCCCAACCCAGGGATCGAACCCGCGTCTCCTGCATTGCAGGTGGATTCTTTACTGTTGAGTCACTGGGGAAGCTGCATTGAAGGATTATCTAGGTATTAAGATTATGGGCCTTTACCCCATCCCTGTTTTATACTTTTCTGTTAAAAATCTCAGCAAGTGTTAAGAAAAAATTCAGTATCATTTAGTAAACAAAATAAAAACTTTAGAAGTGACAAATGTTCTCTTCCTCGCAGCTCTGCACTAACTCAAGTAAGTGTAAAAGAAAATCATTTTGAAATGGAAGTATCCTGCATGACAATTTTACTGAACCAGTCACTTTAAAAGTGAAACTAGAAGAGGAAGGCATGTAAAATTACACAAAGTACATCAACACCACATATTTCAACAGTCTCTAACTATTATTAAAAGAATGTATTTCTGGAGTTACAGAAAACTGCTTAGGAAATAAATGACTTCTACACAAAATTCTAATGGTGCCATGCTTCTCATGCTATTAAAACATACTTTACCTCTTTTCCATAATTTCCAGTGTTAAGTGCAATAGCTCTCTTTTACTCTTTTCTCTTCTTTTTATCATCTCTAGAATAGTAACAGCCCGGCTTAGGTCTCGACGCAGCTTAAGCATTTTTTCATAAGAGGCTTCATCATTTTTGCGATTCTGCAAGTATGAATTTGCTTCTTTAATGTCAGTAAGCATTTTTGAGTATAGCTGGTGACGTATAAGAGTATATATATATATTTGAAAAGTGAGACTAGAATTTAAAGACACTGAAAGGGAACATGGGATCACCAGGAAATCAATTTTGAATATGGTTTTTAATGAAACAACATAAAAAATATATCATTAATAACTCAGTAATGAATTTAAAGACAGATTCATTTTATATTATAAAATGCAGAAAGTCTGTCTAAACACAAAACAGGTTTCTGATGCTGAGGCATTTATAACTATAAATAAATTTTCTTACATCAAAAAAATTACAAAAAACCCTCCCCAGGTTTTCTTACTTTCCGAGTCTGCATTTTTTCAGTTCGTCTTCTAAAAGCCACATAAGGATCATTTGTGCTCGAACCATCTCGCTTCTCTTGTTTTACTGATGGGATAAGAGACGGACCTCGACAGTTTTTTCTCTTTTTAATCCAGTATTCATAAACTTCTCTAATTAATTCATCATCTTCTTTTAGCAGTAGTTTGGCTTCCTGCAGACTGACTGGCTAAATGTAAAATCATTATGTCATTTTCACATAATACAAAGAAAAGGTTCAAAAGTACTTCTAATTTAAATGACAATAATCAGAATAATAGTATTAACAATAGCAAATATGCTGAGTACCTTGTTCATGTCAGATAATGAGCTAGACGCTTTATGTAAATTATTGCATTTAATTTTCACAACAATGCTGTAATGTTTATCAACTCTGTTTTACAGACTGGGACACAGACACACATAGAAATTTATACCTTCTACTGAAGGTTATATAGCCTAGAAATGGACAGAGATATGAATTCAAGCTTGCAGAGCCTGCTCACTTACCCTCTTCCCAACTTTACACTGTTTTCACACAAAGAGATATTTATATATATATATACACACACACACATATATATATATATATATATACACACATTCATTAAATATACAATGAAGCTGTACCTGCTGACCACTGCCTTTTTCTAGACGGTCAATCATCTCCTCAAACTGCAATGGGCAGATGTCCATTTTCTTCTTCAGTTTATTCACAAATACTTCATCTTCAGAATCCAAATCATAATCGGGCTGCTCAGCATCCAAACTGAAAGCTGACAGAAGAAACCACACGCGATCATTTACCGCATGGAAGCGCGGACAGAAACCTCTCACTGATATCTGGGTTATCTCTAGGGAAACAGGGAATATTTTTAAAAATATTTTGTTTTCAGACTTGAAAACAATCTAAGTTTCCTGCATTTAAAGTTTAAGAAAGAAGACCATCTTTACTGTTAAAAGCGATTAAAGACTGGATGTGACCTGTGACCCCACCCCACAAAGCAAACTAGAAGCCCACTAGTAAAAACAGAAAGAGATTGTTAAATGTGCTGGGCTGAACTGAACAAAAATTCTGTAGCTCAAAAAATGATAAAACATAAGCAATTTCATGGGATTTGATACCATAATAGAAGGATAAGGTTTTTAAGTAAGATTGTTTCTAGAATACTTAAATCCTATTTTGTAAATTATTTAACCGCTTCACTGACAGCTCGGGGGTGGTATTTAAAGCTGAAGTGCTAGCCACTGCCAATAAGGGTAACAGCTGTCAGTGAGCTCATTCCTGCCAAGGTTTGTTCCCTCATGAGAATCACTGTCATGGTGAGAGAAATGGGAAGTTTTCTTTCAAGGAAAATTTCCCTTTCAAAATTTGTCAAGATTTGGGGGAAAAAAAAGGCAAGAACCATTCCTTTATACTATACCATGAAATGTTGTTCAATTACTTTGCAAAATTAAACTAGTTTGATAATAATCTAAGTAAAATATTAAGAAGCTTGATACCAAAATCTGTCTCATACCTTTTCCCTCCTTCAACAGTTCCTCCTAAGTTCCCACCACCTTCAAACCCACAACTGTGCAACGGTATGAGGCCCTTTTTGACGGGCCTTGCTAGTCTCATCTGCACATTATGACCCAGCAACATCAAATTCCGTTTGTTTCAAACAGCAGGCTCCTCCTTCCCTGTCTTCAGGCCTTTACATTAGCTCTTTCCTGCCTGGTCCACCAGGCAAATGACTCATCTTTCCAAAACCCAACCTGACATCAACTCCTGTGGAATCCTTTCTGGACTGCTCCCCCACCCAATAAGTGGCTCCTAACTATTTTATCTTTTTTAGAAGTTATGAACCCTCTCTCCCCAGAAAAACATGGTGTAAACATATAGTATTTTACGTAAATTGTAAGCTGAAAATTCAAATGTCCGTAGAACAGCTTGTGGCATTAAGGTTAAAAATACCTGTTCTAGATCACTCCCCTTCTTTTGTATTACTGTTACACATACTTTACAATCTTATTTGCTAAACATTCGAATATGCTAAATTTTCTTGAGCAGAGAGATTGTATCTCATTTATTTCTGTCACACTGAACACTCAACTCTCAGTCCTCTCCAGGGTCTCACATCTACAGGCACACGATGTTCATCTGCTTCTCATAAGTGGTGATAATTTTGATCACCAGTCAAGAAAGTGCCCAATATTCCACTGTGTATCTCCGGCCCATGCCCCACTCCACCATCCCGTAACTAATAAGCAGTCTGTGGGGAGAGCTTAAGGCCGTGCAAATACCCTGCTCCTCATCAAAATTTCCTCTTAGGTACACACACTGGTGATTCTTGCGTGAGTCAGTCTTGATCATATAATTGCAAAAATGATTTTCTTGGTTTCTCTGAATTTTTATTTTTTTAAAAAAACTTTTATTTTGTATTGGGGCATATAGCTGATGTGATAGTTTCAAGTGGACAGCGAAGGGACTCAGCCACACATATGCATGTATCCATTCTCCCCCAAACTACCCTCCCATCCAGGCCAACATAAAACACTGAGCAGAGTTCTTTGTGCTATACAGTAGGATCTTGACAGTTATCCATTTTAAATATAGCAGTGTGTACATGTCCATCCCAAACGTCCCAACATCCTTCACTCCACCATTCTCTTCGCCACAGCACCATTCAGCTCTTGGCTGGCATTCTCTACTGTAAAACCCTGAGACTAGTCTTCTCCACCACTTAGCACTGTTTGTTACCAGTATGGAACTCAGAATTTCTACTTTTACAATGGTTCACAATTCATTACTGTACTATAGTTGACTATTCCATTGCTTAAAACGACCCCAAGCTAGCCAGCAGAAACTCCGATGTCCTGTGATATACCTCTGCCATTTTTGTGAGTTCTTAATTTCTGGCATAACGAGATGTTCAGGTTTATCTTGACTTACCCTCCCCCAGCCCTGGGATCAGCCATCTCTCCACATATTCTTGGTCCTGTTTAATGGTTACGGACCAGGGAATAGGTGTTAGATGTGCTTATTGCTACTGAATATTTTTTGCTTCTTGGCTTTACCAGTGAACAGAACCAGAAATGCACAGATCTGTATCTTTACACACACACATACACACATACTCAAATATACAACAAGACTGCCTTTTAAAAGAGATTTCCTTTGAGGATTACCAAGAGAATCTTGAGACTCAAATCGGAGGGGAAGGGAGGAGAGATTTGTTCCTGCCTATTCTGAGAAGGCAATGGCACCCCACTCCAGTACTTTTGCCTGGAAAATCCCATGGACGGAGGAGCCTGGTGGGCTGCAGTCCATGGGGTCTCAAAGAGTCAGACATGACTGAGCGACTTCACTTTCACTTTTCACTTTCATGCATTGGAGAAGGAAATGGCAGCCCATTCCAGTGTTCTTGCCTGGAGAATCCCAGGGATGGCGGAGCCTGGTGAGCTGCCGTAGTCTGGTGGGCTGCCGTCTATGGGGTCGCACAGAGTTGGACATGACTGAAGCAACTTAGCAGCAGCAGCAGCATTCTAGACAGAACTGTTTTGTCCTTTCTTACAGTATGAATAAGAAAGGAGAAGTCCTAGTTGTACAATCTCAGTTCAGTTCAGCCGCTCAGTCGTGTCCGACTCTTTGCAACCCCATGGACTGCAGCATGCCAGGCCTCCCTGTCCATCACCAACTCCCAGAGTCCACCCAAACTCATGTCCATTGAGTCAGTGATGCCATCCAGCCATCTCATCCTCTGTCATCCCCTTCTCCTCCTGCCCTCAATCTTTCCCAGAATCAGGGTCTCTTCAAATGAGTCAGCTCTTCGCATCAGGTGGCCAAAGTATTGGAGCTTCAACATCAGTCCTTCCAATGAACACCCAGGACTGATCTCCCCTAGGATGGACTGGTTGGATCTTGCAGTCCAAGGGACTCTCAAGAGTCTTCTCCAACACCACAGTTCAAAAGCATCAATTTTTTGGTGCTCAGCTTTCTTTATAGTCCAACTCTTACATCCATACATGACCACTGGAAAAACCATAGCCTTGACCAGACGGACCTTTGTTAGCAAAGTAATGTCTCTGCTTTTTAATATGCTGTCTAGGCTGGTCATAACTTTCCTTCCAAGGAGTAAGCGTCTTTTAATTTCATGGCTGCAGTCACCATCTGCAGTGATTTTGGACATCTAGAAGCTTCCAGATCACCAATCAAAAGAGAAACAACATTAAGACCCTTTGGACCAGGAGATGTTGAATAACACTCTCAAACATCTGAGGAAGTATCAACAGTTTGGAAATAAAGCAGGGGATAATGGTTTTAAAACAGGTTTCTTCCTTCACTGCTCTGATAGGATAAAAGGGAGAAAAGTATGGTCTAGTTCCTAAACCTATTAAAGACAAGAATAACGTTGAGATTTTCCAAATGTTCAATGAAATGTTAACAGATAACGTGTAAAGAATACATTTGAAAAATGCTGAGTTAAAATAAACTTTCCTTTTTAACTGCAAGGTTCCCACAGCCTACAAACAGAATAATATGTATTATAACTCTGGGGTAGAGAGGGAAATATAACATGCAATCATTCTCAAATGTTTCTAATCACTACTTTTTAAGGCAATACTATCATCTTGAAAACTCCAAGGACTAGTCTGTGTAAACATCAGCTTAAGAGTTTTATAAAATAGAAATTATAAGAATTGAAATGAACCAGTCTATATACATAATTTGATACAATGTACACTTCATAAGCAATGTATTAGACTACCTGGCATTCAATGCTCAATTTCAATTTGCAGAAATTTATAATATAACTAGCCTTTTCTTGTGTATTGTATTACACTAAAAGTCAATATCAATTTTTAAAAAATTAACATCACTTTTACACAATCTCTTCCAGAAAATAAGTAAGAGGAAATACTACCTAACTTGCTTTATGAGGCCAATATTACTCTGATACCAAAACCTGACAAGACAGAGCACACATTCGCAAAAAGATCAACAATATCTTTCACGAATTTAGATGGAAAACTTCTCAATAAAATCCCACCCAACAGTGTATGGAAAACACACACACACACACACACACACACACACACACACACACACACAGCCAAATGTGGTTTATTCTAGGTATTCAAGGCTGGTTCAATATCTGACAGCCAACCAAGGCAACCCATCACATCAGAGGATAAAGAAGGGCGGGGCGGTGGCAGGGGCGGGGAATCACATGACCATCCCATGACCTTATTAACTGATGCAGAAAAAGCAGCTGACAAATTCAACAGTTAGGATAAAAACTCCCAATACATTAGGAATAGAGAACTTTCTCAAACTCCTAGAAGCAACTACAAAAAACCTCCTTCAGGTGACATAATGCTTAACGGTGACAGACTAAATTTTTTCCCTTAAGATCAGGAACAAGGCAAGGATGTCTGCTCTCACATTCTTACTTTAACACTGTATTCAAGTTCTAACCATTATACTAAGGCAAGAAAGAGAAATTAATAACATACAGGTTGGAAAGGGAAAGCAAAACCATTTCTATTTGCAGGCTATGACATGATTTTTCTCCACTTAGAAAATCCCAAAGAACCTGCAAACATCTTCTAGAACTAACATGCAATTTCAGTTAAGGCCACAGGACACATGCTCAGCATACAACTGAACTGCATTTCTGCATACTGACAATAAACAGGTGGAAACAAAAATCAAAAGTGCAATACCATTTTCACTTGTGTCAAAGAAAACAGGTATAAATCTAAAAAAAAAAAAAATTTGTACCAAAACACC